TATCTAAAAATTCTTTTCACAGCTGTCCAATGTGCAGCAGTATAATCCTTGTTGAATCTGCTCATTGTATTTACTGCAAATGATATATCCGGCCGGGTACCTTGAGCCAAATACAACAAAGAGCCAATTGCCTGTTGATATGGACAGTCAATCAATCCATCCTCTTCCTTCTTCTCATTGAATTTCATACCAACTTCAAAAGGTGATCTTACAGGTTTACAGTCAGACATTCTGAACCTTGCTAACATCTCTTTTATATATTTTTCTTGATCTATCATTACTTTACCTCCATCTCTGGTAATCCGCAAACCTAAGCAATAGCTTGTCGAACCAATATCCTTCATTTCAAAGTGTTCCTTTAACTTTTCTTTCAACAAATTTTTTGTTTTCTTTTGAGAAGTCAACAAAATTAAATCATCGACCCAGATAGCTATAAATGTGTTTTTCTCTGCATTATAATAGATACAAGGATCTGTTCTTGATTGTTGCATACCTAACTCATGTAGTACACAATTTAATTTCAGGTTCCACAGTCTACTGGCCTGTTTAAGACCATAAATAGATTTATGTAACTTACATACCTTAGACCCTTGCTTATACTGTTCTGGCTGCACCATATAGATCTCAGTATCAATTTCTCCCTGTAGAAAGGCCGATACAGCATCCATTTGATCTATATCCAATCCATATTTAGCCGTTAAAGCAAATAAGTAGCGAATAGTTGTGTACCTGACAACTGGAGAGTATGTTTCCTCATAATCGGTGCCCTTTCTTTGAGCATAGCCTTTTATTACAAGTCTTGCCTTGTAACGGGTGACATTTCCATTTTGGTCTGTTTTAATTTTGAATACCCACTTGCATGGGAGAGCCTTTTTACCTGGAGGAAGTTCTGTCAATGACCAAGTTTTATTTTTCATAAGGGAACTATATTCTTCATCCATGGCTCTCTTCCATTCTGCAGCTTGTGAAGATGTCAGTACCTCCTCAACTGTTTGTGGATCAGTCAAATCTGAATACAAACACAATAGGCTCGTTTTGCCATCCTGTGTATCACATTGTTTATTTCGTTGCCTTAATGTTATACTACTACTATAGTCTTGTCTTATCGGATAAGGCGGGTGATAAGTGGCATCTAGTTCCCCAGTGTCAGTGTCATACTCACTTGAGTCTTCACTATCACCTTTTCGTATATTTGAGTCTTTACTAGACATTAAAGGTGCAGTTGCAGATGACTCCTGAGTGTGTATCTCTTGTTCCCGGTTGACACTGGAATTCCCTGAGTCCTCATTTTCTGAAGGAACAGAACTGACCGTGACTGTGCGATTATCCTCAATTGGAATAGAAGTTTCCACATTTTCAATAAAAATAACATCTCTGCTTTTGATTATTTTAAGTGTTTTAGGGTCCATTAAACGATATCCTTTGGAACTGTCGCAATAACCCATAAATATCATTTTTACTGATTTTTTATCCCATTTATGGCGTTTTTCCTTTGGCACATGGACCATAGCTTCAGAGCCAAATATTTTTAGATGTGATAAGTTAGGTTTCTTACCTTTCCACAATTCATATGGAGTTTTACCTTCTAATGACTTTGTCGGGGAACGATTCACAACATAAGCAGCAGTTGCTACTGCTTCAGCCCAGAATTTCTTTTCTAGGTTAGCATAAAATAACATGCATCTTGCGCGTTCAACTAAAGTCCTGTTCATTCTCTCGGCCAGGCCGTTCTGCTGTGGAGTATACGGAGTAGAGGTCTGATGAATTATACCATGATTAGATAGGTATTTTTCAAAATTATAGTTGCAGTATTCTTTGCCATTATCTGTGCGAAGCCTTTTAATTTTATAATTTAATTCATTCTCTACTTTCAGTTTAAAATCCTTAAAAATCTCTAATATTTTCAACTTGTCTTTAAGAAAATAGACATGAACCATTCGTGTGAAATCATCAGTGAAAGTAATGAAGTATTTCATACCTCCAAATGAAATGTTCTCCATAGGACCACACAAGTCAGAATGGATTAATTCTAGAGGTCTTGTAGCTCTTGTTCCAGTATTTTTAAAAGGTAACCTTGCTTGCTTACCTTCCATACAATGTGTGCAGGTGACATCATTTACATCTGGAGTCAGAGTCACTCCCTCACAGCATGTAGGTAGCTTCTTTACATCAGACATATTCAAATGACCCATCCGCAGGTGCCACAGGTAAGTATTATTGCTATTCTTATTTCTTGAGACCAAGTGGGCCACTTCCTTACAGGTCTCTAGTACATACAAACTATTCTTCAGCTTTGCAGAGCATATTACTTCACCTTTACTATTTCCAACTTCACATCCTTTGTCATTAAATGTGACCTTATGTCCATTTTTCACAATAGCTCCAACTGAGAGAAGATTAGTAGCCAGCCCGGGTACAAATAAAACATTTTTAACTTGTATTTTATTTTCTTGACTTAGCTGAATGTTCACACAGCCAACTCCATTCACAGCTAAGGGTTCTCTGTTAGCCACAGTGATGTTTTTTACAGATGATTCAGTGACATTATACATCCAATCAATTCTGCTTGTCATATGCATGGATGCACCAGAGTCAATGTACCATTCATCATTTACATTTTTGCTGACTGTAGCTGAAAAAGCTGCCACAAAACTAGTACTTTCTCCTTTATTTGCCGTTTGTTTCTTTGGTAGTTTACAATATTTAGCGAAATGTCCATTCCTATTGCAGTTGAAGCATCTCAGACCCTTTGTTTTTATTGATGAGGTATTATTTCTGGGTTTTCTGGAATTTGTATAGAAGGCTGCTGATTTTGATGTATTAACTTCTTGTATAAGTTTAGATTTTACTGAATCAGCACTTATTTTAATGCCAGAGCTCTCTAAGCCCATAATCATGGGTTTATATTCTTCTGGTAAGCCAGCCAACATCAAGGTGCCAAGCCACTCATCATTGACATCAAAACCAATATTACGTAACTTGTGTGCTGTGTTCATTATTTTACTTACGTAATCTTCAACACTGTTACTTGAATCTAATGTGGTGTTGATCAAATCTTTAAGCAAACCTACCCTTCTTGTTAAACCATTATCATCAAATGCCTTTTGCAAATTTTCCCACACTTGTTTGGCGGTTTTACAGTCTTGAACATGGACATAATTTTGCGGATCCAGTAGTAAGATCAGCTTTGATTTCGCTTTGATATCCTTTACAGCATCCACCGGCTTGCCGTCGTGGCATTCGACACAACACCACAAGTCTTCATGTTCCAAATATGCTTTCATGCTGAATTTCCACGTGGCAAAGTTTTCTCTTCCTACCAGTTTTTCTAAATTAAACATATTTGGGCCCATCTTGCTTATCTTCACGAGGAATATTCAATTTTTGATGAACGATCCTACCCTTCAATTTGAATTGCAACGACAATTTTTTCGGATTGAAGTTTTGTCCACTTTATTATTATTTCCAGCTATACCACAACTAAACACAACTGAACCACGCTCTGCTACCATGTAGGAAAACTACGTGGTTGTGGAAGAAATAATGATACGTTTTTAGGATCACAATATAACTCGCATTTATTGGTAGAAAAATATAATAGTACACAGAATGTCAGCTTGACAAGTAGTACAGAGTACAGCGCCCCAGGCGTAAGACAAAGGGAAACTAAAATGGCTGCATTCCATTTCTCTAACACATATTTATCTACCTTTTAAACCTTCACTGGACTTCCACAAATAATTCCAGACTAAAATTAGCCAAATCGGTCCAGCCGTTCTCGAGTTTTAGCGAGACTAACGAACAGCAATTCATTTTTATATATACATATATAGATAGAAGATAGATAATCTATTGATGAGTTATAATAAATAAGCTATGAGCTTTATTTTGGTTCAGACGTTGTCGGCGCGACGCGAGCGAGCAGTACTTCGGTCACGTGGGCGCGGTGCGGTGCATGGTGGAGGGGGGCGGGGACGTGGCCTTCGTCCGCCACACCGCGCCCGCAGAGGTATCCGCCGGACGACGCCGCGAGTTCTGGGCGCGCGATCTGCTCCCCGACGACCTGCAGCTGCTATGTCCAGACGGTAAGGCAGATATACNGATGAGGTATTATTTCTGGGTTTTCTGGAATTTGTATAGAAGGCTGCTGATTTTGATGTATTAACTTCTTGTATAAGTTTAGATTTTACTGAATCAGCACTTATTTTAATGCCAGAGCTCTCTAAGCCCATAATCATGGGTTTATATTCTTCTGGTAAGCCAGCCAACATCAAGGTGCCAAGCCACTCATCATTGACATCAAAACCAATATTACGTAACTTGTGTGCTGTGTTCATTATTTTACTTACGTAATCTTCAACACTGTTACTTGAATCTAATGTGGTGTTGATCAAATCTTTAAGCAAACCTACCCTTCTTGTTAAACCATTATCATCAAATGCCTTTTGCAAATTTTCCCACACTTGTTTGGCGGTTTTACAGTCTTGAACATGGACATAATTTTGCGGATCCAGTAGTAAGATCAGCTTTGATTTCGCTTTGATATCCTTTACAGCATCCACCGGCTTGCCGTCGTGGCATTCGACACAACACCACAAGTCTTCATGTTCCAAATATGCTTTCATGCTGAATTTCCACGTGGCAAAGTTTTCTCTTCCTACCAGTTTTTCTAAATTAAACATATTTGGGCCCATCTTGCTTATCTTCACGAGGAATATTCAATTTTTGATGAACGATCCTACCCTTCAATTTGAATTGCAACGACAATTTTTTCGGATTGAAGTTTTGTCCACTTTATTATTATTTCCAGCTATACCACAACTAAACACAACTGAACCACGCTCTGCTACCATGTAGGAAAACTACGTGGTTGTGGAAGAAATAATGATACGTTTTTAGGATCACAATATAACTCGCATTTATTGGTAGAAAAATATAATAGTACACAGAATGTCAGCTTGACAAGTAGTACAGAGTACAGCGCCCCAGGCGTAAGACAAAGGGAAACTAAAATGGCTGCATTCCATTTCTCTAACACATATTTATCTACCTTTTAAACCTTCACTGGACTTCCACAAATAATTCCAGACTAAAATTAGCCAAATCGGTCCAGCCGTTCTCGAGTTTTAGCGAGACTAACGAACAGCAATTCATTTTTATATATACATATATAGATAGAAGATAGATAATCTATTGATGAGTTATAATAAATAAGCTATGAGCTTTATTTTGGTTCAGACGTTGTCGGCGCGACGCGAGCGAGCAGTACTTCGGTCACGTGGGCGCGGTGCGGTGCATGGTGGAGGGGGGCGGGGACGTGGCCTTCGTCCGCCACACCGCGCCCGCAGAGGTATCCGCCGGACGACGCCGCGAGTTCTGGGCGCGCGATCTGCTCCCCGACGACCTGCAGCTGCTATGTCCAGACGGTAAGGCAGATATACTACTGACAATAGTGTACGAGGACCCCGGGCGTTACAATTGAGATGGGTCGACGAGCTCACAACCCACCTGGTGTTAAGCGGTTACTGGAGCCCATAGACATCTACAACGTAAATGCGCCACCCACCCTGAGATATAAGTTCTAAGGTCTCAAGTATAGTTACAACGGCTGCCCCACCCTTCGAACCGAAACGCATTACTGCTTCACGGCAGAAATAGGCGGGGTGGTGGTACTTACCCGCGCGGACTCACAAGAGGTCCTACCAGCAGTAAAAAGACTTGGAGCCCATTGCCCACTTTGCATTATATTTGTTTATCAGAGTCCATAGACATCAACCGTAACTGAGTTGAAACGATTATGGGCGGTATCGTGTCCTCATCATACAATTTGGAACCAGCTAGTTGCTATCGAGGGTCGTGGCTGTAGTGCTGAAAGGTTTCAGTTACCTTCCTTATAATGAGTGGGGGGGGCTGGAGCAACTGGATGACGGATGACTGCACTCCTTGACCTAGGCAGTTTCTGACCCAGCGAGGTATTCAATTGTCTCGAACGCATGTTGTTAATCGGCCTACCGCCCCCAACGCGTAGGCGAAGTCAGGCGATTTCCTCTCGACCAAAAAAAAAACTTCTAAATCCCAACGCATGCATAAAGAGGGCGATGAAACATGCCATCCTATACAAGCTAACAAAACGCTCTCCTGTCAGTTATTACGCTGACTTATGACATGTACTAAACCGGATTTTTTTATATTGATATTAATCAAAAAGAACTTGAGTCTTTGTTTAAAAAAAATTGTGTCAAATGAAATGACCGGCATAATCGCATAATTGCATAACTAAATATGATTCAGTATCAATGGGACGATTAATAAAACAAAAATATAATAAGCTTTATTCTTTAAAATTACAAACATATAATTATAATCTTACTCAGGCACCCGCGCCAAAATGCACGAGTACAGACACTGTAACCTCGGCAAAGTCCCAGGATCGGTCCTGATGGGGCGGGCGAATCATACAGAACTCGACGCTTTTTCGAATTTAATGGTATACGCTCTACAATTCTACGGGGCTGTCACTTCTGATGAATTCAGGTAAACATTAAATAGTGTATTTATACATAACTTGTAAATGGATAGTATAGACAGCAATATTTTTCATGAAAATATCTGCTTTTATCAAAATTTATAATATGTAAGTAGTTACGAATTACGAAAATAATTTATCGACTCATTTACACTAAATCCTTTTTTTTTGTTTTGGTAAGTCCTTGTTTTTTCCTCCACAGTTTCAGCATGTTCTACTCTCAGCCTCCTTATTCCGATCTGATATTCAGTGATGTCGCAGTACGTCTGAAGCCACTGCCACATAATACACGCTCAGCAGAGATAATTGCTGGCCCGGCTCTGTTACGTGCGGCACGCATTGTGTCATGCGACGCACCTCAAGCCTCATACTACGTGGCTCCAGACCCCGAGTTCCTATCGCACGCTAACAAGAATCATATGGGGCATTTTCTAGCTATAGTTATATTTATTGTTGCACTTTTAAGATAATATTTGATTCAAAGTTGCTTTGCTGGTAAATTATTTGCCTTGTAATAATGTGTAGGTTTTTGTACTAGTAAAACTCAGACATAATATTAAGTGAAAGTGCATTTAAAAAGCTGCTAGTGATTTTTATTTTGTACCATTCCATATATTCCAGTGAAAAACATCACAAATAAAACTGAAGGATTTCTTCAAAATTCAATATTCAGAAATAATAGAATATCCAATTTACTTTGTAAAACGTAATATTAATTAGTTTAAGACAAATGTGATTTTTAAACTTTATTCCGTCCAAATATGTGTACTGTACTTTGTGTTTATGCAATTAACTTTATTTTTTATGGGTATTACAAAATAATGTTTCTTAAACACTAGAACTTTTTTTTATTAAAAACTTCAAATCCATATGGTAATCTATCCATTTTCTTCACAATAGCTCGTAAGTCTGAACGCCTACATATTTCTTTGATAGCAGTATTTTGAACATCTCCATTGCTGCTTATAAAACGAGCATGTTCCCGCCATTTCCCAAACAAACAGTTTGCTTTAACTAATTCAACTTTTATTAATGGTATTAAATTGGAACATTTCCATGTTTTTTGGGCATTGTAATATAAAGCAAGCCATGACAAATACCGAAAATGATTTATACAATACACAAATTCAATCAGTTTTGGTTTAGCCATCATTAAATTTTCTAAGATTGCATTAGTGATTCTGACGGTGACCCTCTTTTTGTACAAAGGCAAGTAATTTTTCATATCTTTTTCACAGCATGCTATAGCCAATATTGTACAAAATTTATTACCAGAAAAACAAAAGGTAGTAAATACATGTTTCCAAATTAATTCTTCACTGTTGTATTGCAAATTAAATAAGTGACTACTTATTTGAACACCTGACTGACCAATTCTGTTCTCAATGAAGTTACTAATGTTCTCAATAGCATTTGTAAACTTTATTTTGTAACATATCTGTCCATAGAAAATACTATTAACTCTACTGACCTCTAAAGTAACTGTGTTATAACTGTAACCTATGAAGGTAATATCTTCTGAGTACCGTATGCTTGGATGCTGAAAGTTAACAGCAGTTTTACTATAGTTTACATTTCTGTAATTTGTAATTTTAGACAAAAATGCTTTGGCATCATCAAAACAGTCTGTTATATATAAATAGTCATCCACAACCCTAAAAAACATTTTTATTTTCCAGTTATCAACTTTTAGATGTTCAGTCAAATATATTTTGTCCATATAAGAATAATACAGTTCTGATAAAGCTGGTGAGTATTTATACCCCTGTACTAAGCCTTCTTTCCATCTAAATATTGTAGAACCAAATCGCACAAGCAACGGTTTTCTTAATTCAGCTACTAAATTTCTAAATTGCTCTGACACTCTTTTCTTTAAAACCATATTGCTTTCTGTTTTATGATAATTCAAATAGTTTTCATGCAGAATTTTCATCATTTTATCGGTATTTATAGAGCCAAAAGCATCACTCAAATCAGTCTTAATAAAATATAGCTTAGGTTTATTTAACTCTAACCACTTTGAGTGCAATTTTGGATATGCAGTTTCAATTTTGTGTTGTTGGTTTCCAGTGAGTAGTTTTAGAAGTTGAAGCTTCTCTTTTATTCTATATTTTTGTCTCTTGTTTAACTCATCATTTCTGTATTTTACAATGGGTCTACAATCATAATTTGCTTTCAAAACTAGATGTAATTTGGGAACTTCTTTTATCAATTTCTTTAAATCCAGTCTTTTCGCAATGGGAAGGTTTCGTTTTATTTTTTTTCCTAAACAATAAGGTTCAAATTTTTCCATTACATTACTGAACAACATCTTTGAAATTTTCTTATCACAGAAACTTTGCCACTGACTTTTCCAGAAGTAAATAAGTTTGTTTTCATCTGAATCTAATTTACATGTTGTTACATAAAAAGTTAAACATATTATGGAAGGTAAAATTGCTGTTAATAACCATAACAAAATTTTATGCAGAATAGTATATGATATGTTTCTCCAAGGCAAAATGTCAAAATCCCATGTTTTCAAATATTTTTCGGGTAGTAAATGTTGCATTTTCATACTAAAAATTATGTCGTGTACCATACATCGAAATAACTTTTTATTTTCATAATTTCCAAAGAAATTAAATGGTACGATATCACAAAGAGCTTGATAAGAACATTTAAAAATAAATTCTTTATCCACTTCTTCTAAACCGACTTTTTGTGTCAGCTGATTAAAATACTGTGTAAAATCTTCTTTGCATTTGTTTTTTAGATTAGATTTCATTAGTGAAAAGATTTTAATGAGTTCCTTTGTTAGGCTACAAATCGACGTTTCACTTTTCAACAAATATAAACAAAAAGTGGAATCGTCATAATTGAAAACTTTTGATTTCAAAACATTGTCGAACGACCGCAGATTGTGTTTGTCCACAAAGTATTTTGAAAAACAAATGGGCGTATTCATATTTCGATAAATTCACTATTGTTCAAAGAAAGAACTATCTATAGACTAAAAACCATAGATCACCTAATACACATAATAATTGTTAATTTTTTTATACTATTGCAGTTAAGCATACACCATATTTACCTATGGCAGTTTCCCCATCACTCTGGCCAGGCTTATAAATATTTAAATATTTTTTTATGACAAATGATAATATAAAGTGAAATGAAATGAAGTTGATTAATATGAAACATGGTATTAAATAAAATGAGATGAGATGAGATGTTATGTGATGAAATATAATCTCAGTAACATGGTGGTCATTTACTGAGACTTTTTCAGTGAACTTTTTGGAGGATCCCGAGAAGCTACGTCCAGTGGCTTTGTTTCATTTTCACACAATTGTGCACTTTCACAGATTCTAAGCAGTTCATAAACCACCGTTATTACACATTTAAACCTGAAAAACACAAAATAGACAAATCACACTTCACTCATCGCGCTCCCGCCAAAAATTTAAATTAAATTATATACTTTTTTTAAGAGATTTTATGACCTGGTAACTAAGACCTTTAGGTCATGTCTTATTTTAATTTATATTCTTATTTTTATGAAAAATGACAACATGAAGTAAAATGAAATAAAATAAAAATTATTTGTTTGAGACATTAATCAACTGGGATGAAATTAAATGAAATCAGATGATATGGGATGAATATAATCTCAGTAAAATGGTAGTCATTTACTGAGACTTTTTCAGTGGAGTTTTTGGAGGATCCCGAAAAGCTACGTTCAATGGCTTTGTTTCATTTTTCCACATTTGTGCTCTTTCAGAGATACTAAACAGTTATTAAACCGTCGTAATTACACATTTAATTCTGCTCGAAATACTCAAATCAAACAATATCTCCTAGTCTGCAATTAACTGGTTTGATAGTTACCTTCGGGGGCGTTCGCAATGTGTTCGTCTTGACGAGACTTACTCGGACTGACAGAACGTCAGTGCGGGCGTTCCCCAAGGTGGTGTTCTTTCTCCTCTTCTGTTTTCAGTGTTTATAAGCTCTGTCACTAGGCTTATATCTTCTAAATTCCACTTCTACGCAGACGATCTCCAGCTATATCGCCACTTTTCGGAGCTTGACTTTGAATCGGCTATTGCTGCGATGAACAGTGACCTGAAGTGTATCAGTGAATGGGCAAAAGCCTACGGTCTGCACATTAATCCGGGAAAATCACAGGCTATCATTATAGGAGGTAAACAATTGCGCAGTAGACTCAGCGATCCTATACTCCCCCAATTTATTTGGATGGGACTCAAATAACTCTAACCGATTCAGTTAAAACCTGGGTGTTATTGTAGATCGACATCTTTCGTGAAGTTCTCACGTTGCTGAGATTAGTAGGAATGTGCACTTCGCCTTGCACTCGTTGAGATGTCTGCAGGGTTCTTACCCCAGCATACAAAAATATCTCTCGTCCAAGCTCTCATTCTACCCATAATTGACTACGCCGGTGTCTGCTACTTGGATGCCACTGAGGAGCTCTCAAATAAACTTGAGAAGTTACTAATTCTGTGTATCCGTTTTATATACAATCTCAGAAAATTCGATCATGTTTCTCATTTTCGCAAAGAACTTAAATGGCTCCCTATACGCCTTCGTAGGAATACTCGAATATTATGTATCCTATTCAATATCCTGCATAAGCTCACTTCTCCCTTATATTTACGTGAGCGATTCTCTTTCATTCGTCCTCCTGATGCTCCCTACAGATCCAACCAACATTCTGTCTTGTTATTCCCATCCCACAAAATCAATTTCAATTCTCACTCCTTTACTGTACACGCGGTCAGACAGTGGAATTCATTGCCGGCTGACATTTGAATTTGCAAGTCTGTTTCTGTTTTTAAATACGAGGTCAAACAATTCTATCTCTCATCATCCGAATGATCATTGTTCTATACTCTTTGTATATACTGTGTTACTTATAATATTTTGTATTCAAGTTTAACAATATTTGATATGTGTATGTACATTACTATAATTCTCATATTGTATTTGTTATTTTAGCTGTTCTACACACACTCATCACTTTTAATTATTATTCTCATAATTCTCTCGCAGGTCTGCTGAAAGAGATTACTTAAAGAAATAAGCAGTGCCTTTGTACACTCCTATTACTCTGTACTATGTCTTCTTTTTTGTGTGTACATAAATAAATAAATAAATAAATTTAAACCTGAAGAAACACTAAATAGGCAAAATAAAACAAATCACACAACTTCACTCCTCGCGTTCCCGCCAAAAATTGAAATTATATACATACTAGCTTTTGCTCGCGACTTTGTCCGCGTGGAATAGTTCACAAATAATGCTTTATTTTAGAAAAAAATTGGTTAGCATAAAAAACGTTATAGTGAGCCAACCTTAACATATAGACATATGCTGGCGCGAACTTTTTTTTAGATCTTTTAAAGAGGAACAATTCTGTCATACATTATTTTAGCGAAACTTTAACCGTTTTTACAGCGCACGCAGCGGAAGCTCTCAAAAGGGAAAAAAACCCGATTTTGAAACATTCTTTATTGGTACATTTATTTTTTATTGCCCTTGTAGGCAGACGAGCATACGGCCCACCTGATGGTGAGTGGTTACCGTCGCCCATGGACTTCAGCAATGCCAGGGCAGAGCCAAGCCGCTGCCTACCGCTGTATTAGTTTTAGCATGATGTTATATAGTCTATAGCCTTCCTCAACAAATGGGCTATCCAACACTGAAATATTTTTTCAAGCCGGACCAGTAGTTCCTGTGATTAGCGCGTTCAAAAAAACAAACTCTTCACCTTTATAATATTAGTATAGACTAGCGACTCGCCCTCGCTTCGCTTCGGAAACATTAAGTTTTATTAGTGAATTGATAGCTGAGACCCGCGATCTTACCCGCGGTTATTGTTGTACCGCGGGTGAAGCCGCGGGGCGAAGCTAGTCTAAAAAAAGTAACCTAAGTTACTCCTTATATCATCAGCTACCTATCAGTGAAAGTCCCGTCAAAATCGGTCGGATGTTCCAGAGATTAGCCGGAACAAACAGACAGACAGACTGACAGGCAAAAATTGTAAAAAATGTTATTTTGGTGTATGTACCGTATATATATTCATATGCTTGTAGTAAAAAGCGGTTATTTCAAACAGACACTCCAATTTTATTTATATGCATAGAGTATTGAATAAACACCAAAGTTTAATATAAATAAACACCATAGTCACCACAGATTAGTAACATAAAAAGAGTAAAGTAATATGGCTAGATAACGATTTACTTAGAAACCAGACAGAGGCCGTTTTCCAATTACAGCACAAGAGCGCATTATGCGGCATAATGCTCAACTAACCTTCAGCATAATTCGGCATTGTGCGTCACTGAGTCGCATTATTCTCTGTAATTAACCATTACTTAATGGTAGTTTTCCAATTCGGCATTGTGCGACACTGAGTCGCATTATTCTCTGTAATTAACTATTACTTAATGGTAGTTTTCCAATTACAGAGCATAATGCGACTCAGTGTCGCACAATGCCGAATTATGCTGAAGCTTAGTTGAGCATTATGCCGCATAATGCGCTCCTGTGCTGTAATTGGAAAACGGCCAGAGATACTGAAAATATAAAAATAAAAATAAAACTATCCATGTAATGGTCTTGACGTGTAAATTTAATTCGTTATGTTATGTTATGCTGCGATTAGTTTTCTTCGTTTTTTATTATTCATAAATTGTAAATAATTAAAACGGCAAATTATAAAAATCTTATTACTTGACGCTGGCTAATGCACAAACCGTGCCGTAGCCAAAAAATAAAGAAGAGGTAGAAGAGGACATATCTTATCATTAATTATCTATGTTAATTATTGATAAGATAATTGCTGTCTTGACGTACAAACTAGTGATGCGCAAAATGTATCACTGAGCTGAAAAGATAGATACATATAATTTCGCTATAAAGATATATAACACTCATTTAGCTCACTAGCTCAGTAATCCAATTCAATTGATTAGTCTCTCAATTAATTCATTTCTTCGTCTAGACCATTTAGGTCAGTATACAAATATCACTCACTTTGTATTGGAATATCTACAATGGTCAGTTCAGTTTGTAACTGTCAGGGCCTATTTATGCACTTACTAATACACAACATTGTTTATTTACAACATTCAGCTTACCATAAAACTAAACACATTAAGAAACTTGTTTAAATATATATTTTTTTATATAGCATCGCATTATTGGTAATATTAACTTCGGAAATTAATGGCTACCTTTTGATGTAAGAATAAAGCAAATATAAATTTAGTTTTAAAAATTCGTGAGTTATGTTAAGCTTTGCTCCTATAAAAATAATGTACATTTCTCCTTGAATAACCCAAACGTCGAAACGAAATTAGCGTGAAGTGAACGGTCGTTCTCGTCAGCCGGCCACACAATGCATCTATCTCACTCATTCATTTTTCTTTCATTCGCTCATCAATTCACGATACATGTCATGAGAAAAATGAGCTAGTGATCTAGTGAGCTAGAACCATCGAATTAATAAGTACAACAGTACAGTAGTTAAAATACTAACTATGGCTAGAACTGAGTTACTGATACATTCGGAGCTAGTGTGAGCTAGTGACACATTCTGTCAGTGTTAGTGATATATATATTTTTATGTCACTCACTCAGGAACTACACATCTTTAGTACATACCTACCCAAGTATAAACTTTAGTTTGGCAGTTTAAAAAGTTTGTTTATGTACTTAGATCGTCTTTAATGGGCGATAACTGATAAGAAGGTTTAGTACTGATAGTATTTTATATCTATAGTCTAAAAATGTGCAAATTATTCATAAACGATTTAATACAAATTTTCAAAAGCAGTGTATCAGCTGTTTTACCTGAAAATTTAATTAGAAGTTCATTGAAATATAATCCAACCAATGAGCATCTAAATATTTTAGGAAAAACTTATAATTTATTGGGAAAAAATGTTTATCTTGTTGGAACAGGCAAAGCCGTACAGAACATGTCCAGAGAAGTAGAAAATATTTTACAATCTAAAATTAAATATGGTATCATAAGCATTCCTATGGGAAGTTTGGACGTATTTAACAAATCAAGAAACGTTGAGTATTTTGAAGGAGCTAAAGATAATTTACCTGACAATAGTGCACAAAACACTGCATTGAAAATAAAGAATCTCATTACACAATTAAACAAAGATGATCTATTACTAGTACTTATTTCAGGAGGTGGTTCAGCATTACTGCCTTTGCCAAAATCACCAATAACTTTAGAAGAAAAAATTGGACTTGTAAAGAAGTTGGCTAATTCTGGTGCTGATATTAAAGAATTAAATACTGTTAGGAAAGTAATATCAGATTTAAAAGGAGGCCAACTGGCAGTAAAGGCACAACCTGCTCAAGTTGTCTCACTAATCCTTTCTGATATTGTTGGTGACCCTTTAGATCTTATAGCAAGTGGTCCTACTGTACAGAATACTGATGGAGCTAATAAAGCAGTTGATGTTTTAAAAAAATACAATTTAATAGATGCACTACCTAAATCAGTGCAAACATTACTTGAAAATAATGGAGATAATTTAGTATTTCCAACAAATAATACATCAAATTACATAATTGGTTCAAACAAAATAAGCACTAAAGCTGCAGTTGTACAGTGTATAGAACTTAATTACCTACCATTAGTACTATCAAATAAAGTTACTGGAAATGTACAAGATGTAGCAAACAAATATAGTAAACTAGTGACCGTAATTTGTAAATATTTGAGGCAAAATTTGGAAATTGATGAATTAAAATCAAACATAAAAAAACTGGAAATATCTGGAACAGATTTAAAAGTTTTGAATGAAATAAAAATAAGTAACAAGAAACCGTTATGTCTTATACTTGGAGGAGAGATAACTGTAGCAGTAAAAGGAACGGGTAAGGGTGGTAGAAATCAACAACTGGCTTTGGAATTTTCTAAATATCTACACAAAGTCAAAGATCAATTGAATGACTTTGATATATTTATAATGAGTGCTGGAACTGATGGAATAGATGGCCCAACTGATGCAGCAGGGGCGATAGGATATTTGAATCTCATTTCAGAATCTACAGCTGATGGTTTAGATGTGGATAAATATTTGGCCAATAATGATACCTACAATTTCTTTAAATTATTTAAAAATGGCCATTTACATGTATTAACTGGTCACACCAATACTAATGTTATGGACATACATCTAATTATTATTAAGAGGAAATTGTTGTAAGTCAACATTTAAGATCATATCTTCCAATCTGTTCATAGGCGGTTATTGTTATCCTTTAAGGTCAAAACAGTTTATCCAAGTCTTCTATGGTTTTACAACTCGTTTGACCCAATCAAAATATATGAACATATATTTATGGGTAAAATTATATGATAGAAAAGTTAAAAGTTTAAAAAGTAAAAGTATTTAAGGGGTAATGTAATAATGCTAAAAATACAAGAGCAAATACATATTAAACATATTAAAAGGAAAAATCATTGCCTCATGTATTTCCATAACTGGCAACAACTGATGGACCTCCATACTTCTGTGAGACCGTTTCATTGTGTATCAGGTGATTTTTTTAAGTAAAATATCAGTTTTCAGTCATTGTCCTTTTATTGTCAAGAATCATTGACACTTAATTTTCCAGCGCTTACCTTCCAACAATATTAATTTAAAATTTTATGAGTATTGTTTATATATTACACTATAAAGATGGTTTTAGAAATAGATTTAATTTACTATTATGTTGTTTTTGTTTTTCCTCCTTCAGTTTAGCAGCAGCCAGAACAGCCATTTTACACAGACCTGCATACTTGTCCTTCCTCTTTTTATTATTGTTTATTATTTTTGGTGGTTCTTTCACTTGACTTGCAAGTGTATTATTTTTATTGTTTAATTTAAAAACTTCTATTGTGTTTGAGTAAATATTGATATTTTGAGATATTCTATCATTTACTTGTTTAGTGGGTTTTGCTTTATTTGATCCTATTTCTTTTTTCTCTATAGTACGATTGTTGATACTATTTTTCATGTTTTTCTCCATGATAGCCTTTTGTTTAATTCTCTCAGGTTTAAGGATTTGTGTTTTAACACTTTTCTTGCAAAACATGCATATCTTTTCCTGAAAAAACAAAAACAAATATAGAATAGGATTATTTTTGTACCAGAATTTATCCTTTAAATAAGAACATAGTGTGTTTTATTGTTTATATTAGCAGAATGAAATGTTATTATTTATTTTCTCTTTTATCTTGATTAGCAAAATTCATTGTAGTATCTCACTGTTTTTTTATTTCACAACTTAATATGATACACTTGCCTTCAAATAATATTAGGTGAAAATAACTTGATCACTTGACCCTATGTAGAACTACACAAAAATATTTGAACCCTTATTGCACATAGCTCCATATAATAACAAGTAAGTATCCATTATTTTAGAATCAAAACTATATAAAGTCTATACACTAATAATATAAACCCAACAACTGACTTGTTATATGAAAATTAGATCATTATCATTGTATATAGTGTACACTACCAACATACTTATACCATATACTACAAGAAATGAAGCAGCATTTCTGCATGATCGTAGTGAAGTGGATTTGATAAACTAATACAATTAATCTGGCACTTATGCAAGCCTAGCGTAAATAATGATATCAAATTCTAGCTTTTTATATTGTTCAGAAAATTCTGAAAATTAATATACTTTTTATGATGTACAGAACATAAGACTCACTTTGATCTCTAAAACGAAGAATGTAATGTTTGAAGAATAAACGTGAACTTACGTACAAATATATTTTTGGTAAACTTACCATTTCATTCATTTGCAGCAAAGAGTTTTGTGCTTGTGTTTTCCCCTTTTTAGTTCTATCCTTTAAATGTTTTCTTCGTTTCCTCTGCCTTTTACTCAGTTTTATTGGATTAAGCTGTAATAAAATCACATGGTAGTTTATTTTACACATGTGCTGTGAAGCAGTAATGCATTTCGGTTTGAAGGGTGGGTCAGCTGTTGTAACTATACTGAGACCTTAGAACTTATATCTGAAGGTGGATAGTGCATTTATGTTGTAGATGTCTACGGGCTCCAGTAACCACTTAACACCAGGTGGGCTGTGAGCTCGTCGACCCATCTAAGCAATAAAAAAAATGTTTTGTTGTCTTTTCTTCATATCTATTTTTGGGAATTACAAGCAAACACAAAGACAAAAAAGGTAGTCATAGTGGTCATTGGCATGGAAAAAAACAACTTTGTTCAATGTACTGCAAATTATTGAAATACCTACTTTGATATTAGTTCCTTTTTTCCATTCTAGGCAGCAGTGCGGGCATCTTGCAGCTGTTGAGAAATGTTTATCTGGTAGTCCATAACCTTTAGTTACTTCTTTACATTTCATTCTGAAATAGAGTTTTTTTTAAATATCCAGATAACTAGACGCAATAAATAAGTGTGACAAACATTTTTGTTACATACAAATAATAACTTTTTAACACATTTTGAACATTGTTGGATATATTTGATGGTAAGGAAGACGCTATTTTATATAGAAAGGCTATTTTTGTTTCTGTCATTTTCAATGATTAGTGCACTTAAAAACAACTTTATTGGGAAGTTGTCTTACTAATTACCGTACTACATTAACATGAAACTTCATAACTTTCTCAAACGTTAATCAGTGGAGCGATTTTTTTTAATGGATTTTATGACCTGGTAAAAAAGACCTTTAAGTCATGTCTTATTTTAATTTATATTCTTATTTCTATGAAAAATGATAAAATGGAGTGAAATGAAAAGAAGATGATTAATTTGAGACATTAATCAACTGGGATGAAATTAAATGAAATGAGATGATATGGAATGAAATATAATCGCAGTAAAATGGTGGTCATTTACTGAGATTTTTTCAGTGGACTTTTTGGAGGAACCCGAGAAGTTACGTCCAGCGGCTTTGTTTCATTTTCCCACATTTGTGCACTTTCACAGTTATTAAACAGTTAATAAACCACCGTTATGACACATTTAAACCTGAAGAAACACGAAATAGACAAAATAAAACAAATCACAACTTCACTCCTCGCGTTCCCGCCAAAAAGTCCTCAGTGGAGCGAGCGAAACTCTTAGTTAATGGTACAGCTTTTTTTAAGCGATCTTATGATCTGGTAATTAAGACCTTCAAGTCATGTCTTATTTTAATATATATTCTAATTTTATGAAAAATGATAATAAATGGAGTGAAATGAAATGAAGATGATTAATTAACTCGGATGAAATTAAATGAGATGAGATGATATCGGATAGCATATAATCTCAGTAAAATGGTGGTTATTTACTGAGATTTTTTCAGTGAACTTTTTGGAGGGTATTGTCCATAGTTATAACCACTCTCACTCGTTCCCGCCAAAATTTTATAATCTAGATGTTTCAAATATTCCTAAAGGTAGTTTTCCAATTACAGCGCATAATGCGACTCAATAGCACACAATGCCGAATTATGGTGAAGCTTAATTGGAACGTGAAATAGTTTTCAAATGCATCAGCAGAGTTTGCTAAGTACAATGTTGAAAAAAAAAATTCATGGAGTTAGCAACCTCATTAATATATAAATAATGTGGTAAACAATAATAATTGGTTGAAAACTATTTACGGTTATTTTAAGTAATTTGAATTTTGATTATTTCATTAACATTTTTTTACGTTATGAGTATTTTTTTTAAATGAGTTCTAAGAAAATTATATACTTTTTAATTGAATCCTCCATACTTATATTTTTTTTTAGCACAGTTTCAATTAACTTTGATTATTTCCAAGAAACTACGACGAAACGAAAGCCTTACAAATTTTTTCAACAATAAATAATATTACTAACGATAATATAAACAAAATTTCGATCAATTCCAACTTAAAGAAAAAACACTTGTAAATTTTCTGTCACTGAGTCGGTATCGATTGCGAGTATCACGCGAGAGCAGTACTTTTGAGAGTGCTCGATTGTGCGAAGCGTTGCTGTAGTTGAAACATTCAACGTTGAGCATTATGCCGCATAATGCGCTCTAGTGCTGTAATTGAAAAATAGGGAAAATAAACAACTTTAGGTTCGTTACGTAATTCTAACGGATTCGTTAAATAATTCTTTCCGCTTTCAGTTTTCACTGACAGATCAAGTGCTACATTATAATTTTTAACATGCATTTCATATTTTATTGAAGAGTTTTGGGGTTTTACCTGTCCAACTAGATCGGCAAGTTTTGATAAAATCTACAGAACAGTAGGGTGAGCACGAACAGGTCTCGAAAAACTAATCGTATAGCTATTGAAAAAAATGCCAAGAAGTCAAACAGTGCCCCAAGCGTATCTATAAGTGTTGGAGTTTGAATACTTAAGATTATCTCCATGTATGTAAGCAATGGCAGGCAACACTTGACACATGTAAGATCCCAGATTTCAAATATTGGAATGCTTAATTAAATGTTTAAAACAAATAATTTGTCGTCTCGTCAGTGAAGACAATGACTTCTCATCTAGACACGGACAGAGTAACATCTTAGAGTTGCATCAAAATAAAATATTATAATGGTGTAATAGTGTACAAAGTATTTGCAATATAATTATATTAACCATGAAGCAGAGTGTTTTTAAATAGCCCCTCTCCTCCAGAACCCAGTCCCCTTAAATTTAACCGTCCAACAATAAGAACTAATTGTGCTTGTCCGAAAGATTTTAGACACTTCCTAAGGTCATGTTATTTAATAATGAAGCTTATGCACATAATCGAGAGTACCGTACCAGCTTTATTTTGACGTAAAGAAAATTCTTCCGATATTTAAAATTGCATTTGGAACATTCTTGTCTTGAACTACTTACTTAATTATATGTAAGCATTTCTTCATATTTAGTGTATTATTATTGTTCCACCGCAGTCACTGTTTTTCTTTTCAATTTGAAATGTAAATACTTTATAATATCTGACAAACAGAAGAAAATAATGTAGTGTAGCACTGCTTTGTCTTTGCCTATTCTTTATGAATAGATTAATTTTTATTGTTTTTGAAGGGACAATTTTACAACGTTTTCCCGCCCTCGGGACCCTCTTTCAGTCTGACGTTCAATCTGTCATAGTTCAAAATGTTCAAATCGGTACGCTAGTACACATGTTTGAATTTTTGTCGGTTCTCGTTTTCAAAATATTTTCTTTTTAAAGTTTTATTAAACAAAATCAACTAAGAATATTGAAGTAATTGAGCTCTGTCCATAGAAACGATTAGCGCATCTAAGTGAGAATCATTACAGAACACGTGTAACCGGTTACTTGTTTATTGTCATTGTTTTAAAGTTGCAGATTGCAGAATCGTTTAACAAACTTTGCAAATTAACTCACCCTTAAGCTCTGGTGTTACACATTATTCAGGTCGTGAACCATGGATGTAGCTGACACATATGCCACACAGAGTCAAGTAAAAGATGAAGTGGGAATTCGATGCCAAAAGCTTTTTCAAGACTTCTTAGAAGAGTATGTTTGATTTTAAAAATCAAGTTTGTTATAATACTTATTTGTTTTTTTATTTACCATATTATGAATAAATGCTTTTCTTCAATATTTTCATTAGTTGGCAAACGAGACTTCTTAATATAAATTTAAAACCGCTTCAGCAAATAATTAACAAAAAAAAAATTTACAGATTTAAGGAAGATAACGAAATCAAATATGAGAAACATGCTAAGGAACTATTGAAACCAGAGCTCAGTACCCTTGAAGTTAGTTTTGATGATGTTGAAAAGTACAACCAGAATCTTGCTACTACAATAATTGAAGAGTATTATAGGATATATCCATTTTTAAACAGAGCCATTTTGAATTACATACTCAGTCTTGCGGAAACTGGAATGAAAAAAGATCTACAAGATAAAGAATGCTATGTTTCATTTGTTGATGTACCAACAAGACACAAAGTAAGGGAGTTAACCACAGCAAAGATTGGTACTCTCATAAGGATATCTGGGCAGATTGTAAGGACACATCCAGTTCACCCTGAGTTAGTTCAGGGCACATTTGTGTGCCTAGATTGTCAAACAGTTATTAAAAATGTAGAGCAACAGTTTAAGGTAAGATTTTTTAATTAATTGATTTTATTAATTCTTCAGAGAAATACAGTAACTTAATAAAATGAAATGGAATTAATTAAAATAAATAATATATTAAAAAACAAATATTATTTTATCCTCAGTACACAATTCCAACAATCTGCCGTAATCCTGTATGTGCTAATAGAAGGCGTTTTATGCTGGATGCAGATAAGAGCGTTTTTGTTGACTTCCAAAAGATACGAATCCAGGAAACCCAAGCTGAATTGCCCCGTGGTTGCATACCCAGATCTCTTGAAGTGATATTGAGGGCTGAAGCTGTTGAATCTGTGCAGGTGAATTTAAAAGAAACATGATATGGACAAGACCTGAACTTCCCAATTTCTAGATATTTGTAAAGCCAAAAATATCAAATTAAGATTAATCAATCTAAATTGAAACTAAAACTGTATTTGTTTTTAGGCTGGTGACCGTTATGATTTTACAGGAACACTGATTGTAGTGCCTGATGTGGGAGCCTTGTCAATGCCAGGCTCCAGGGCTGAGATTACAACCAGGACTAAATTAGCAAATGAAGGTCAAATGGAAGGCATAAAAGGACTCAAGGCTCTTGGAGTGCGAGAACTGCATTATAAGTGAGGATCTCTTTGCTACTTTGTATGTGAGGGATTTTATTATAGTAAACCAAATATAGGTAAGCCGCTGGTGGCAGAGTAAATGTTAAATATACACAGGTATGTATGTGCCAGGACTATGTTATTGTCTAATTCTACAGTGAGTAGTGTAATTTTTAGCTGGAAGAGTGGAACGACTACAACTGAAAGTTTAACATTTTTACAAAGACACATGGTATTTATAGAAGACATATTTTCAAAGCTTGGCAGTGGCTTGGCTCTGCCAGGGCATTGCTGAAGTTCATGGGCAATGGTTATCACTCTCCATCAGGCGGGCTGTATGTCTAGAAGGGCAATAATTAAATAAACTAAATTATGGCTTTAACATTCTGCAAATATAGTGAATCAGTTTCTGAAAATATACAATATGTATAATTACAGTTATTCAAGTAATGGTATAATTTATTTACCATAGTTATAAACTTACTTCACAGAACAGCATTTTTAGCATGCAGTGTACAAGCTGTTTCTAGAAGGTTTGGTACTGCAGAGTTGCCTACACATGACCTAACAACTGAAGACATGAGGAAACAAATGACTGACAAAGAATGGGACAAGGTAATGGTTTTTTATAGATGAATTGTACGATTTCCTGTATTTTATATATATCTACAGATAGTAAGCTTAATGCACACTTGATATTATGTGGTTACTTCAACCTACAGACATCACAACATAAAATGTATGTTCTTGTTTATTGCTCTATCTATGCTTTTAAATTTTAAAAAGTTTCAAATTTTATCTTATTGCTTTATTTGTTAAATATTGATTTATTTATTTTCTTATTTATAGGTTTATGAAATGTCTCGAGATCGCAATTTATATAATAATTTAATCACGAGCTTGTTTCCAAGCATTCATGGAAATAATGAGGTGAAGCGAGGCGTCCTATTGATGTTGTTTGGAGGGGTCGCCAAAACTACAATTGAAGGTACAAATACCTTCATCTATACTACCTATAAACCTCTATATCAGTATATCAGTAATTACACCACGAATTATTAAAGTGCATGTGGATAGTGAAATTTAAAGTTGCTCAAAAGAATCTTAGAACTGTATGAAAGTTTTGAGAGATATAAACCTCATTTTATGCATTACTCAACAATGAGTAAGTAGTAACAGCTACCTTTAAGAAGAATATAATGTTAACTTCTATAATTTTTCTTACAGTATTAGCACTATTTAAATTAATCATATTTGGTATCACACTATTTTAATTATAATATAAACTGCCAAGGTAATTAAAAAATATACAACTATTGTGAGTAGTATAGCTTAAGCCTATATTCTAAGCAGTATAGATGTTCTTATTTCTAGGAACAACACTTCGAGGCGACATAAACGTGTGCATCGTAGGAGACCCGAGTACAGCAAAGTCCCAGTTACTGAAGCAAGTCAGTGAGATCACACCCCGAGCTGTGTACACTAGCGGAAAGGCTTCCTCTGCTGCTGGTCTCACTGCAGCTGTTGTTAGGGTATGTTAAATAATTCTTAAATCTCCACCTTAAAATCATAATGTGCAATAGATTTTATTTCTCAAACACTAAATGAAATGAATACCATCATATTCTTTCAGTCACTATGTAGTGATTAAACCAATGACAATTTTTGTAAAATCTAAACTATACATATAAAATAAGGAAGAAGTAAATGTAATGTAGTATAGTATTTAATAGAAACTGAACATACAGTTACGTCAGAATGAGTAATGTATGTATTGTGATACATACCTTAATATTGTCTTAATTAAAGAATTGAAATTTTATTTAGTATATTGATAAAAAAATATTATTTATTTTTTACGAGCCTCTGCTCGTAAAATTATTGAAGTGTAATTTTTTAACTGCTTGGGGTTATGTTTGGCGCCAAAACTTCAATGATCAATTTAAATATTCATAACTTCAACATTTAAAATCATTTTCTCCACTAATCTTTGACATTTATAATATCTCCAGAATGGAAAAAAGGATTGGTATTTATATTTAAATTTATTGTTAAAAGGACGAAGAATCCTTCGATTTTGTGATCGAAGCAGGCGCTTTAATGTTAGCTGACAACGGTGTGTGCTGTATTGACGAGTTCGACAAGATGGATCCTGGTGATCAAGTTGCAATACACGAGGCCATGGAACAACAAACTATTTCCTTGGCTAAGGTTTCTATTATTATTTATTATTTTAATTTAAAGATATAAATTAGACATGTAACACTTACCAGGGACCATAGTCGTAAATCGAGTGCCATCGTCCAAATTTAGACATGGTTTTGAAGTCAAAACTGCATTTTAGTTCTACCCTTCAGTCTGGGACTCTTGATTTCGTACAGAAATAATCAGTTGTGTTTAGTATATAAAGGGAATAATTTTTAAAGTATGTAGTTTTATGTACCCAGTGTAGCTTGTTAGGTCATCTGCCTATCATCATCAGTCAATAGCAATCGACTGCTGGACATATGACTCTCCAATTGCACGCCATTGAGCGCTATCTTCAGCTCCAGTTTTTGCCAGCTACCCTGCATAGATCGTCACTCCAACGAGCCTGAGTAAAAATAAAATAAATACCTAAAAGGTGATATACGAGGTCGTACACCCTAGTGTTGTTCAAATGAGAAAATTAAAAAGTTTAATTATATTTTCAGGCCGGAGTGAGGGCTACCCTAAATGCACGTACGTCGATACTTGCTGCCGCAAATCCTATTGGCGGACGATACGATCGAGCTAAATCCTTACAACAAAACGTCGCACTGAGCCCCCCCATTATGTCACGTTTCGATTTGTTCTTCATATTGATAGACGAGAGCAGTGAAATGGTTGATTACGCAATAGCAAGGAAAATTGTCGATCTGCACTGCAATAAAGAGGAGAGCTATGATTGTGTTTACTCAAGGGACGACCTGCTCCGGTATATTGCGTTCGCGAGGTCATTCAAGCCCGTCATTACCGAGGTGAGTTGTACAACTTACATACTTGATTAGTCTATTAAAGTCGGGTGGTGCGGCAATGTGGCTTTGCCCACAGTTTCTGCAGCCAGTTAATGTAAATGTTGACTTATTATTTTTGTTATTTCATAAAAAACTTAACCATTATGTTAATTAAGATTACTGGTGGTAGGACCTCTTGTGAGTCCGCACGGGTACCACCACCCCGCCTATTTTTGCCATGAAGCAGTAATGCGTTTCGGTTTGAAGGGTGGGGCAGCCGTTGGAACTATAGTTGAGACCTTAGAATTATATCTCAAGGTGGGTGGCGATTTACGTTGTAGATGTCTATGGGCTCTACTAACCACTTAACAACCAGGTGGGCTGTGAGCTCGTCTACCCATCTAAGCAATAAAAAAATTAATAATATGTTATAAAGTATACTTGAAATAAATAGATTGTGTGTGAAAACAACATAACATTTTCCATTTATTAAGTCTGGCCTTGGTGTAGAACTTATACACTCTATGTCATGTGTAATGTGGTGGCAGTTTTTTGTTAATACGAAACATGTATTGTCCAGGAGGCAGGCAAGTTACTGGTGGAGTACTACGCGTTGCTGCGGGGGCGGGAGGGGGGCGCGGGGGGCGGCGCGTGGCGCATCACGGTGCGCCAGCTCGAGTCCATGGTGCGGCTCGCCGAGGGCGTCGCCAAGATGCACTGCAGCGGACACGTCACGCCCGCGCACGTGCACGAGGCCTACCGGTACGGTCTGCAGTCACGCTTTTTTTTTTCTGACATGGGTGGACGAGCTCACAGCCCACCTGGTGTTAAGGAGTTGCTGGAGCCCATAGACATCTACAACGTAAATGCGCCACCCACCTTGAGATATAACTTCTAAGGTCTCAAGTATACTTACAACGGCTGCCCCACCCTTCAAACCGAAACGCATTACTGCTTCACGGCAGAAATAGGCAGGGTAGTGGTAACTACCCGCGCGGACTCACAAGAGGTCCTGTCCTACAGCCTGTACAGCTATTACCATATCGAGGGGTGAAAGGTGGTTTAAGCGACATTTCCTTTATACACGACATTTACAGTACCCGGCGATAAATATTGCACATCGACCGTGGGAAAGAGACGGTTAATTTTTGCTTTGTAGAGCATTATATCTGTCGCACATTACCTAATTGACATTTAATCTCCATAGATACGGGATCGTTGGTGTTTCATCGCACACAGGTAACGCTCTACAACAATAACAAAATTAGACGACTGTCTCTTTCTAAATATCGATGTGCAATATTTATTGCCTGGTACTGTATCCGTGTAATTAAAGATACGTTTTATTTTGTATTAGTGTGGCACTAGCCATCATACAACACAACATGTTTGCAAATGCCTGAATCTCGCTTACATTTTCAAGATCAGCTTGTACAAGTTCTGAACAACATTGGGACCGTCGGTCTACCGAGCAATATCACCCGCTCGGTTCAAGATCTTCCCTCTGTGGTATCACCCTACACTAGCATCAACTATTCGATGTTTTTAATTGAACTTCAATTAAGTTTACTCTATACAAATGGCATAAGATTTTTTGTAATGATATTTTTTCCAAATTTTAAACATTTAATTTATCTCCTATGAAGTCGCAGAAATGTCGCTTAAACCTAATAACCTTTCCCGTCGATATATAAGATAAACTATACGATATGTACTTCACACCACTCTGTTCTCTGTGTTTATTATTTATGGATTTTTCTTGTTTGGTCCAATTGTATTTTTTTTTATCTTTGTGCTTATCGCACCACACGGGGTCGGCGCAGCGTGTCCTCTTTTTTCATTAAGGCATCCCTGCACGCACACGCTTCCCTCGCATTTCCTCTTTACACGATCCAGCTAAGTGTTTTTAGAAAGCCCGCTCTGTGCCAAGATTTTGTGACTTATATACTATTTTTTAAGGGATTTTATGACCCGGTAATTAAGACCTTTAGGTCAAGTCTTATTTTAATTTATATTCTTATTTTTACGAAAAACATAATGAATTGAAATGAAGATGATTAATTTGAGACATTAATCAACTGGGATTAAATGAAATGAAATGAGATGATATGGGATGAAATATAATCTCAGTAAAATGGTGGTCATTTACTGAGATTTTTTCAGTGAACTTTTTGGATCCCGACGATCCCGAAAAGTTACGTACAGCGTCTTTGTTTCATTTTCCTACATTTGTACACTTTAACAGATATTAAACAGTTATTACACATTTAAACCTGAAGAAACACCAAATATACAAAATAAAACAAATCACACAACTTTACTCCACGCCTTCCCGCCAAAAAGTCTCACTTATATACTATAAAATATGTTTCACACAGATTACTGAATAAATCCATTATTCGCGTGGAGCAGCCCGATATACATTTGGACGAGGATGAACCTCAATGTGAACCGAGCATGGATGTGGATCAAGACGAACCTAATGGCACTGCAGGTAATTAAATATTTCAATTAAACATATATACTAATTTGTTGATAGACCACATCATTATTGGAATCAAGACTTTGAGCTAACATGGTGGACAAAAGCATTCCAATTTAGGTATTTAAGCGATAAGTCTGGAATTAGGGATGCCGATCTCAAATCGATTAATCGAAGAATCGATTTCTCGGACCAAATAAATCGATTTTTTAAATCGATATGTCATACTGAATCGATTCAGTGAATCGATATTTTACCCTTGAAAATCGACTTAGGATTTTTTCTGTTTTGGTAAAAAAAAAATTTAGTTAGAATTAGCTGAATGTACTCACAATATTACGGCATTGCCAGTTAATTGTTTAATTACTTAAAAACTCGTGAGATGGCGGTATGTTTAGTTTTCGTCGCTTCTCTTTAGTAAAAAACACCTTCCACAAAATAATAGTGAAGAATTCGACGCAATAGAAGGGACTGATTTAGAAAAAGGAATTTGAGGTTTTCATAAGTTGCTTGTCAAAAAGCAACTCTCTACATGTAATACACTTGCACTGGAAAGTCAAGGCTTAAACGAAGAGTTTAAACACTATTTATCACAGGCAGTTGTGTACCTAAAGTATGATCCTATAGTTTATTGGCAAGAACAAAAAAACTCTATTTATCACCATGTTCACTCAATAGCCGTGATGTAAATGAGTATCGTAGGATCATCTGTTCCCTGTGAGCGCCTTTTTTCAATTGCCGGCAACATCGCAAGTGATGAGCGGAACCGCTTGGATCCCATTAGACTTGACAAATTGTTGTTTTTAAAAAGCTTAGATATGAAGCATTGGGAACTATAAGCTATTGTTATCTACTCTCTTCACTTTTTAATGTAACAGATACATTTAGAAAATAATTGTCTTCCTTTATATCTGATCTGATATTTTGATATGGTAATTAAAAAAAAAGTGTGTGTGTCCGCTCCGACGCACGACTGGAGTTTACTGGATATAAAAAATTAAACGAAACAATACGAGAAATAGTTCTATATTACGACAACACGATACACTACAGATTATTAACAAATTAACGAGACACAAAACAAACGACTAACAAATATATGAAAATACAATAATGAGAGAAACGCGCGATCAGTACGAGGCTTTGTGGCGGACTGCCGGCGCAGCAGCCCGGCGTCACCTGCGATAACGCGGCCGCGCGTTGGCTCCTGATTGGCGCGCGCACGCATCACCATGGCCAATCAGGCGCATAACGCATTTCGTGTGACATGCTATACTCTCTAGTACGATTTTGGTCCCCATAATTTTCATACCCCGGGCCTATATATGTAAATCGATTCTAAAGGAGTAAACTCCAATAATTGTAATTATCGAATTCCCTGAACTAATAAATTCCTAATTTTACTGATAAGAGATCCCAGAGATTGTTTATTATTGTATCATTTTTGTTTTTCATAAAATGGATTTATATTTACATTGTAAATACAAATTTGAAAAAAATCCATTTTTTAGAAATCGATTTTTTAGACCTCGATTTTTTTATGAATCGATTTATCAGGTTACGATTCGAATCGATTTAAAAATCGATCTTTTTGGAAAGAATCGCCATCCCTATCTGGAATCAATTTAAAAAACTATTCACCGCAATACAGTCTAAAATCTGGGTCTACAATACGAAAATTAAGTATATAGGTACAAGATTTTTATTTAATATTTTATTGCTTAGTTGGGTGAACGAGCTCACGGCCCACCTGATGTCAAGTGGTCAGCGGAGCCCATAGACATCTACAACGTAATTGCCGCCACCTACCTTGGGATATGAGTCCTAAGGTCTCAGTTTAAAGAACAACGGCTGCCCCACCCTTCGAACCGAAATGTATTACTGCTTCACGGCAGAAATAGGCAGGGTGCCGGTTTCTACCTATGCGGACTCGGAACACGTTCTACCAGAACTAATTACGCAAATCAGGTTTGCGGGTTTGATTTTTATTACACGATGTTATTCCTTCACCATGGAAGTAAATCGTGAACATTCGTTAAGTACGTATTTCATTAAACAAATTGGTACCCGCCTGCTGGATTCGAATGTACCGGACATCTTATCCTTTAGGCCACGACGACGTTCTATTGCATCACTGCGAATGATATTCTATATTTTCTCAGAAAAACAATAGCAGTTGCGTTAAGAAAAAATAATATTGCCATCCCAGATATAACTGTCGAAAGGTACTCATTCCGAAAAATTGTAATGTCCATTAAAAATAAAACTGTAATAAACATAATATTTTTTAAATAAAATTGAATATGCAATTTCGAAAAGGGCACATCTCTGGAAATGTAAAATGTTCAGGAAATGAAAAAGACTGATTATTTTCTAAAGCAGTGTAAAATTTAAAATATTAACTTTTGAGATATATTTTAGTGTTAATTAGCAATTAAAAATTACTGGAATTATTATAAAATTGGTGTAGGTAAGCCTCAAAACTACATGTATATGAAAAAACGTATTTGACAAAATAACCGAAATTGCATATTCAATTAATCGATTCTTGTGTTTTTCTTCTAACCGATATATATGACATACATTTCATTAAAATTCGATTTCAGAAACTCCCAGCAATGGCGATTCGGCGCCTAAAAAGAAACTGGCGCTTTCATTCGAAGAATACAAAAGCCTCAGTAATATGCTGGTCGTGTACATGAGGAAGGAAGAGGCTGAAGCGGAAACGAGAGGTCCAAATTACATAATATTAATAATATATAATATCAATATAGAATATAATAATATAATATTATATTAATATATAATATATGTCGTGGATAACGACTTTTAGTAATATTAAGACGGTGGTTTTGATTATTATTTTAAATGATGAGATGTTGTTTTGATAAATATCACAAAATGAAGGGTAGACTACGTAACGCCACAGTATAAAATGGCGGTACGTGGACAGAGTCGTGGCATTCCGTGTCAGACAGTCATTCAGTCCGTCTCAGTCAGTCGGTCTGTCGGTATGTGCAACGAAACTGTCGGTTTATCCTGTCATTGTGAAAGTTGTGTGTGTTGAGTTTCAATAATTGTTATTCAAAAAGTTTTATTTACTAAACTGAGTTCAATCGAATACGAGTGATGACGAATCTACCGCTCAGCCATCCCTGAAGTGTGCCGACATCAGAAGTGAGATCAGGACTCTACTCTCACTGGCGTGACGTATTTGAACATGTTCGAAGTACAGCAAAAAAAACATGATGCAGATCAGAATACTAGTAGTGGTACGCCACAAGAGCGTGAATGCTGCATACGTAAGTCGTGTAATAACGTCTCTGTTACCTCGATGGAAGATCTGAGCCACGAAGAAATCGTCACATCTTACGTTCTGGCTCATGTTGCCCAGTTTGACTGTCGACTTCATCACATGGCATTTACTAGCGGAAATACAACACGTAACAAGCTATTGCAAGAAATTAAGGCAAGTGCAAATCTCAAGTGAAAC